CTTGTGAGCCCATAGTTAATGCTAACTGAAATAGGATAAACCACAGCACTAATTGCAATGACGTGAAATGTTCATTGTATAATGTAATCACAGTATATATGTGGTAATAAACAGCACACGTCAATGAGGTGTCGACATGTGGGAGTACACCTTCATCTACTTACAGTGTAGTACTGTCAGACATAGTTGGTACATGGTTTATAACTTAAAGTAATAGGATTGTGTCGCCATTTCTCAGTAGAATTTATTCAAATTTTGTGGTTACATTGCTTTGAAGTAAAGAAAAAAGTATAGGTTGTCATAATTTTAAGGAATTTAAATGAAAATTTATGTAAAAAGGAGTGAATTTTGAAGAAAAAATTGAAAGACACAAGTTTTTGCAAAATAATGTCAATAAAAATGATACTTTCATAGATTAGTATTGCATTAATGTATATCGAGATATGCCTTTCAAACTACTTTGTCCCCGAGCTTTATAGTGACCTTGATGGTTTAATATTTGTTAGCAGTGGCATGGTTCATACTAAACAAACTGTACTAATTATTAAATCGTAATTAAATCAGTTCTCCACTAAATTGTGAAATTAATAAACTATGGAGTTCCACGCACCTGTCCCTTTCTTTGTACAGTAAGTTAGACGATTTAGATTTCCACTTTTTAGCCCCTAGCATCACCGATGAGTCCTAGACGAAACAGCTGTAGGATGAAGTGCTGGTTTTTTTTGGATGATGAATTTATTACTAAATTTTCAAGGCAAAACACCTCTGTGTGTGTTATGTTCATCTTTGTGTTGGTTTAGTCTTAAAATTACTGTTTTTGTTACAAATATGCCAATAAAGTAAAATTAAATTGTTTTCCAACCTAGTATAGTGATGAATTTGTTTTGACAGATATGAACGGGTTAGTTGTTATTTTGAATCAATGATTTTCTTCTATGGAAAATGGAATTGATTCAAAAGAATATTCTACCGATATAACATGAACATTTAACATACACCAGACATAAAACAATTGAGATATTACTGATTAAGTCACGTTAATGGTAAAGGACTCGACCTATTTGTATGCATCGTTCAACTTATGTATATTTAAATGACGGGACAACGTTTACGCAAAGTACATGGTAAAATCAAAACATGATATGTTTTATGCAAGACAAGTATCTGACAAACATGTAACACATTTGATTGAGATCTTAATGGCTATTATAGAAACCAGGTACTTCTTAGTTTTAGGCACATGGTAATATACTTCTTACTGGAAATAAAAAGTTCCTTCGAATCATAATTCTAAACAAGAGGCCCAGAGGACCTGTATCGCTCACCTGAATATTTAAGCAGTTATAGCAAATTATTCTCATTAAATATTATATCGCACTAGAAATATTTCCCTCGCAAACTTTGTCGGCTCCATCTGTTAAAACTAGCAGAAAAATATTATTATAAGATTCTATGCTTTTTGACATATTTTTTCCTGTGACCTTGTAAGTAGGTCAATGTCATTTTACTTCTCAAATTGGTTAGCTCTATTCCAAAAAGCTACCAGCCAAATCTTATGAATCCATTCCTTTCAGTTCTTAAGGACAAATCCTTTAAAATGTTGTTGACCTCTGACCTCAAAAGTAGGTTGAGGTCATTTTCATTCGCAAACTTTGGTGAGCTCTATCCCAGGAAGTCACCAGCCAAATATTATAAGTGTATGCCTTTTAATTCTTCAGAAGAAGTCGTTTAAACCGGTTGAAATATTTGAACGCTGTGACCTTGAAAGTAAGTCAAGGTTATTCTCATTCGCAAACTTTGTTTGGCTCTTTCCCATGAAGACACCAGCCAAATATTAAGATTTTATACCTTACAGTTCTTCAGAAGAAGTTGTTTTGAGCGTTAGAAATACCTGACTCCTGTGACCTTGAAAGTAGGTCAAGGTCATTTTCATCCTCAAACTTTGTTGGGCTCTTTCCCAGGAAGCTACAAGTCAAATAGTTGCATTCTATAACTTTCAGTTCTTCAGAAGAAGTTGTTTAAAGCATTCGACTCATTTGACTCCAGTGACCTAGAAAGTAGGTCAATGTCATATTCCTTTTCAAACTTTGTCGGGCTCTATCCTAGGAAGCCACCAGCCAAATATAAAGATTCTATACCTTTCAGTTCTTCAGAAGTCGTTTGAAGCATTTGACATATTTAACCAGTGACCTAGAAAGTAGGTCAAACTAATTTTCATTCTCAAACTTTGTTGGGCTCTATCCCAGGAAGCCACCAGCCAAATATAAAGATTGTATACCTTTCAGTTCTTCAGAAGAAGTCGTTTGAAGTATTTGACACATTTGACTCCGGTGAACTAGAAAGTAGGTCAAGGTCATTTTAGATCTCAAAATATTTTGGGCTCCTACCAACAGAGCTTTCAGCCAAATATCATGACTCTAGGCCTGTCCGTTCTTCAGAAGAAGTTGTTTAAAGGAAAAGTTGACGGACGAGGACGGACGCTGTCCCACTTATACCCTTCGGCAGGTAAGCTAACAAACAACAAAGAGGTCCTAGTACCTTGGATCGCTCTTTCGTCATGAAGCAATTATTCCAAGCTGGAACCTAGTTTTGGATTACCTCCAGGAATGTTAAGGGTCTGGAATATGTGATGAAAGTATGAAGTAAGCTATTTTTGTATTTGTGAACAAAAAAATATGTCTCCCCTTATTAGCCAATATGCAAATTTGGAAGAATAAAAAGGTCACATCAAGATTAATTCTAAACCATTAAACTTTTAAATTATTATGGTTCATGTTAAATTTTGGTTAAGATTCGGCAGCTATGGTACTATAGACACATTTACATGTATATAAAAATAGGCATTATCACACATCTGATTACAATCTGGTTCCTCTATTGGCTCATTATTTTTTCATAAACTTAAACTGAGTGTATCAAGTCAATGAATAAAATGATGTGAATAAAGTCAAATAACTATAACTGTGTATCTACGATCGATTATGCACAGATGGTTGATGCTCAGTACTGGACTCTCCGCCTTCCCAAGTGCATAAGTGTAGCAAGTTTGGTCAACGTAAAGAAATTACATGGAAGTTATGCTGAGACAAACTTCGGCATAAAAATGAACAAATGGCCATATCTTTTTATATAGTGGGGGCACGAGATCCAATTTTAGAATGTGACACTCCTACTTCCCAAAATACATAACTACAATAAGTTTTGTCAACCTAGGTGAAATAACATAGAAGTTATGCTGTGGACAAACTTCGGTATCATAAATAAACAAAGAGCCATAACTCTGTATATAGTGGGGCACGAGACCAAAATTCTAGTGCACTGCACACCTTCTGTGTGTGATGCAGGTTTACTTCAAGTTTGATCAAGATATATTTAAAGGTTTAGAAGTTATTTCGTGGACAAACTTCGATATAAAAAATAAACAAAGGACCATAACTCTTTATATAATGGGACACAAGACCCGATTTCAGTGCGAGAGATTCTGCCTTCCCAAGATACATAAATGGCGTCAAGACCCAATTTCAGTGCAAGAGATTCTGCCTTCCCAATATAAATAAATATGGTAAGTTTGGACAATGTAAGTGAAATAACATGGAACTTATGCTCCGGATAAACTTTGGTATCAAAAACAAACAAAGGGACATAACTCTGTATAAAGCGGGGCAAGAGACTTAACTCCAGTGCACTGCACACCTTCTGTTGGTGATGCAGGCGTACTTTAAGTTTGATCAAGATATCTTTAACGAATCCTTCATTCGAAGGAGAGACATAATAAAAGACCCATCACTGTACAGCACTGACTACAATGTCTTTTAAATTGTCAATTGTAAAAGTTTTTGGGGTCTGATACAGATACTGGAAACAAGCAACTACAAAACTATTCTTGAATTGATACAATACGTTTGTACTCCTGACCTTGTGACATTTTCATTTAAACCTTATTTCATTTCATTTCATTTCATTAGATTTTATTGACTTTCTATATGTCAATTGGATTGAACATCAGGCTAGGCCTATTTAAGTCCTTTCCAAACTTATTTACAAATATTACATATATTCTGTCATAACAATCCAATTAAACAGTGCAGGGGAGATAACTCCAATTTAGCTTGTGAAATGAACATCTTACAACTTTTGTTTAATCATTTTCTGTTTATGTTTTAGATATTAACAATTAAATAAATCATGTATATTTATTGACAACCCATCCTACATAAAATCCAAGGGATACAGGCCCAAAAGTCCCTGTGTATAAACACATTGGCCATCCACCCACTGGATATATAGGATAAGTTACCAAGAAATAGACATTTTGTAAAATTTCAGAATATGATATGGATTCATATAGGAAAATGTAGTTATTATTATATATTATTGGAGTTGATTCTCTTAAAATGTATTTAACAAAGCACTATAGAATATTCATGTAACTATGAAATAGTTAGAACAGGTTATAGAATAGTACACTCATAAATTCCATCCATTTAAACCTTAGACTTCCTATTTATCCCATACGCGAAATCCGATGGATATCAACATTAAATTCGAATATTTCATGTACATCCAATTATTACTGAAACAACTACTTACAAGTCGACAGAGAAGATACGAACAATAACATCCACGTCAAAGTTGTTCATAGAATCATTACAAGTCTATAACATCTTGCATCATTTTTTTTCCATACAACAGCTGAAACCAGAACATATATTAGGATGTAATTAACAAAGTACAATATGCATTAGTTGCCCTTCTTGTATCAACAAATGCATCGTTTATTTTTCCTATTCATTTATCAGTAGCATGATTTAACTTCCTTCTCATTTCCATTGCTCGGGTGGGGAGAGGTTTTGCTTCAGCAGTACTCAAAGAATGCTCGTACCACCACAATTTGGTAAAAATATATTTAAATTAGTATATATTGGACAGACAACAGAGAAAACAGGTGAGCTAAAAATCAACACACGGATCAAAGGCACAAAACAAGACAAACGCTAGTCAACAAATTCATCTTTTATAGTGTGAATCTAATGAATGAGACTAAAATGAAGGACCCAAAGGTACAAATATACAATCGCCCTCCATGAAACTATTAAATCTTACACAGTATAATCGTATATAATACATTGGCGAGGCTCAACCTACGAACACACATCCTTCAATACAGATGGCTGATGCTGGTTCGATCATGTAAAATCTGACCCGATCATATAAAATAAACAACATAAAGGACCCTGTGCTCAAAGCCTTATCAGCTCTATTATTTAACAGTACCCATGTTGTCTGTATTAAAAATATTGAAATACATGTATCATGATTTTAGAAATAAGTTGGTGAATATTTGTAATAAGCCCCAATTTATCAAACATAGTTGACCATTTCCAGAGTTTGAGGGTACGAGTCAGTTTATTGAGTACATATTTTCTGATGCAAAACATATAATTGCGACGAGCGTATTGGGACTAAGAAGGTAATTTGGACATTTTCTGACATCATTGACAAGTCCATGCTAGACCTTTTCCTGGTGTACTGTCTTTGTGACAATATGACTTTAAGGACAATTAGTGAATACATTGATAAAGCAAGGTACTTACATTTCTGTAAATAAAAAATAGAAAGATCCTGTCCCACTGCAGGCAAAACACTAGAGAGTTCCAGTCATTTGTGTATACAGTAACCTCCCCTTAATTTCGTTTTGGATATGTCACTCTTACACAGTTGGGCCATGGCACTACCGATATGTTTTCCTTTTCAAAAATGATTAAACTCATTCACCCCTGAACACACATTTGAACTCTTCCAATTCAAAGGTTGTAATAATTAATTCTGAGATTCGAGGGGTGAATGGGTCAACAGGGCCATGTCGCAACAAAACAAAAGTTCCTAATGCTTGGCTATAATTTATTGGCAGTGGTACCGGGATCCTTAAAACTAACTTACTATGATAGGAGTCATAAAACATACACACGAGTTCCTACATATATATCATTTAAGATATAAAAGTAAAGAATGAGCTGATCAGGCTATCTTTTTTATGCCAAAGATGTTAAGTGAAAGAAATCACTTTAACTTACCAATTTATGACATTTTTTTCTTCATTTTTATACCTGTTAACATCAGTACTGTCTTTATTGTTTCATATCAGATACACCACGGAACCAAAATATTCTGGAGGTCTATCCATCTGCAAGCAAACTTCTACAGAGTTGTACTGTATTTGTAGGTTGTTGGTTTTTTGTAAATATATAGTTTAAGCACAATTGGGCAAAGAAACTTCCGTTGACCAAGTAGGTCATTTCGTTAGAGCAATAGTATAACAATACAAGGTCCTAGGTTCAAAACCTGGTCTAGCCCAGCTGATTTTTCCTCGCTCAAAACTGCTGATCATTGCATTCTGATTTTTTTCTGTTTTATTATTTTCACAAATCCCAGAAGGTAAGGTTTTCCTTTTAGAATTGATATATCAAAGCTATGGTCATGCTGGTAAATACTGTTTTCAATGTATAGTTAGTTTTTGGCAGTGGTACAAAAGATCCTAACATTGTTTTTCAATATCCATTAATTAGCAAGTGTTTCTCATGGTGAACGATTCCTCCTAGTCACCCACACACCTCACATAAAGGTAACACCATTGGACCTACATATTTTACAGTTTAACTTATCTTCAAGTCTAGCAGGATTCACAAAGATCATTCTTGTTCAATCATTTTTTTAGATTTGGCAAATTTGTTGGACACATCCTGAACATCAGAATTTTGTCTAAAATCTTCACATTTAAAACCCAAACTTGAGTTACTGAAGTCATAAATTAAATTATGTATACAAAGCTGAAAATTACCAACCAATACCATCAGATTCTACATATCAAAACAATCAATTTTGGACAATGATCAGAATAAATCACAACCAGATTTTAGCAACAAAACATGGAAAACAAACATGGTCAACATCTAAATATCCAAAATGAAGGTGTTTCAATCACCTTTATAGCACAATATAATGTGTAGGGGAAAACACTGATTTAATACCATAAAGTGTTGATGAGCTGACAGTCATCGAAGGTCTTTAGTCTTAGTGCTACTACATACAAGAGACCACTGAGTAAGGGTGTGGGAGATTTTGGGGCAAGGAGGCACTTATAAAAGTTCATACATGGGTGATGGGGTCCAAGACAATTGTATTGTAATAAACCTTTAATATGAAGAAAAATAACGAGTTATGGTCATTATGAAGTCTCCTTCAATATTCTGAAATGGGCTTCATACATGTATAACAAATTCCAATTACAAACTAAAGGCTGTTAGCTAGAAAAAGTCTAGAACTTGTCACTTCTCCTGATGATACAGAAAGTTACAAGTTCAAGTTTATTAAGGACACTGAAGTTTGATCTTTTACCAGTTAGAGAGATGATAAAAATGATAATCAATCTTTCAATAAGAAACCATGAAATTGATTTCCTGGGAAAGAAACATATTATGATATGCATGATAGTGTATATCCTTGATACTCCAGGGGTTATGCTCACTTTTGCTCTCTATACACCCCTTGAATATGTCATAGCAATATTGAAGGCTCGTGAGCACCAACATGTGGATGAGACAAGAAGACTAGTTTGATCTTTCGACGTACATCAAAAGAATCTCTTGGTCGCGTAACAGTAAAGCTGACTGGCTGTGAAGTTGGGCGTCGCTCCTCTGTAAGCTTATAAGGACAGGTATCAGCTTAGTGATTGGTAAGGTGTTTTCTTTTACCTGAAAGCCATCAAATAACTAGCTGTATATGTGTGCCTTCAATTTTGCTACGACATATTCCAGGGATGCAGAGAGTAAAAGTTGGTGTAAACCCTGGAGTGTTGAAATGGGTAGTGTAAGAATGATACCTATTCAACCATACTGTTAGTACAGTAAATTCAATATCTATGTATGCATCGTAGGTACCAATCTGTGTATAAGGCTGACATTTTGTGACATGTTCACTTAATAAACTATAACATAAAAGGACTTGTTATCCTAATTAATAACAATTAAAAATAAAAAAAAACAATTGAGTTCTTATACTTATATCATATATACAGTGTACTTTTTACCTGGAAGGCATGAGTCCAATAAAGCCTCTTTTTTTTTAATTTGACAGGTTAAATTTTAAACTTATTTCATATAAAATGGCTCAGTGCTTTTCAACAATTAAGGATCCCTATCTCACTGCACTGTTTTTGTAAAAAAACATACCCTTAATTTTCTTTTAGATTCAACCGTCTTAAAGCAATAGAATTACAATGACAATCTAAAGTCCATGGTTTGAACAGTCTAGCCCTGTTTTACACTCTGAACACTGTTGTTGGTTATATTTTGTTTACTTCTCCTTTATTAATTTTCCATAAAAAGGTATGGTTTTCTTTTCAGAAATGATTTAACAAAGCTATGGTTTTCTTTTCAGAAATGATTAAACAAAGCTATAATGATGTTAGAAAAAACAGTTTCCAATGCATTGCGTAGGTAGTTTTTGGCAGCAGTACAGGGATCCTTAAGTGAAAAGGGTAAATAAAACACTGCATACATAAACTACAACCTGCTAATTAAATCTATTAGTATAGCTTAAGGCTGTGTCCATCACAGTAGTATCATACACTAAAACCTGGTAAGTCACAAGTTAATGTAAAGGCTGTGTTGACCACGGTAATGGCATACATATGTAGACTAGAACCTGCTAAGTCACAAGTTACATACAGGTTGTATCCACTTCCGTATTGTCAAACATATGTATTAAAACCTGACTTCCATATTGTCAAACATATGTATTAAAACCTGACTTCCGTATAGTCAAACATATGTATTAAAACCTGCTAAGTCACAAGTTTACGCAGTTTTAAGTCACAAATTTTCCTAAAGGATTTTCCTAAGTTACCCAAAACAAAGTTTGGGGACTGCTTTTATTATCCAAGGAATTGTCAGAATGAGTAAACCTTTTTCTTAAAGATCCAGGATGAATTAACTAAGACATTAATAAATGATATATATAAAACAGTTTTAAACTAAAACAAATATTCCTTCAAAACATGGATGGAAATGATATAAAAATGGAGCTGCATATAACCACACACTCTTCCAAAGTTCCCTTCCTTACGTTGATGTTCACACAGATTATTGTTGATCAATGAATAGTCCTTGAAATGTTATGATCCAAGTATTAGAAGAAAACTTTCCTCCCGTCCCCACTTGGTCCGGCAAACGTCTTTGTTCCTCCAGCGAATCTATCAGATAAGCTTACTCCAGTCTGTACAAACAAAAATAGATATATATTCTATAACTTAAATATTTTATGATACATTGATGTATCACCAATAAAATACATAGATTAAATGTAATAGAAGATTTCAAAGTCTTTTTTCAAAGATCAAGATAAGCTGACATGTTAATTTTTACACCAAATTTACAATTTGCACTTAGAAATAGAAGTGAGTATTTGATATTAGAAAAAGAGCGAGTAGCATAATTTGTCTGAAATTATTTATAAAGCAAGAGTTTGTCATTTAAAAACAAAATACTGAAACACACTATTGAACTTTTTAAAACACCTGGCAATAAATTTCGCTCAGACTGGCAGATCTAGTCATCATGTCATTTTCTAGATATGAATGCCTTTCTTCAATACTATCAGTTTTTGTGTCCCATTCCCAATAGAAATCCAGATGGAAATTGGATAAACAACTCAAGGTTTGACCTTCTTTAACAGTAATATTTTACTGATACTGAAGTGATTTTACACAGCACGTATTAGCACAGAATTTTGTGACGTTATTCAGTTGGACACCATGAATGGAAGCATCACAGGGTTCACACTCCATTTTGGAGCAGAAGAATTTACTTAAACAGATCATCCAAGATGGAATAGATTCTGCCAAGACACCAGTTTGAAAAAAGATAACAAACCATTTAGAATTGTAATAACAAAAGTCCTTAACTTAATAAATGGCAAAGTAAAGGGAGATAATAAGGATTTTATGATGGATAATCCACTCAAGATTTGTATGAAAATAACCTGCCTACAGAACAGAGCATGAACAGACAGTATAACATAAAGGAAAAAGAGTGAAAATATTAATGTAATAAAACATACCAGGATGTGACATAAAACAATGAGACACTTTGAGAAAAATACCAGCATGTATTGGGTGTAATTGAGATATTTCCAACTTACCGAGTTCTGTGCAAAGAATTTTTTCTGCATACTAAATGACTGGCTTTGAGATGGCTTGAGGTTCTAGAAGCACAAAAATATGAAGATGGTCTATTGTTCATTATTTTGATAACAGGGTAAGACAAATCACAGGTCCATTGGCCAAAGTCCAATAGATTTACATATATGTGATGTCTACCTATTTCACAAGGAGTCTCCCAATATTCTACCTTCAAAGAATGAAACTACCTCTGAATAATTTGAATATTTACCAGGGGATGTGATATAAGAAATTCCTCTTTTGTTGAAAATATGTCAATTAACACCACTAAGTAAATGTTACAAAGTATTGGATCAAGGGTAGATTACATGAAAATGTCTCAATATTTTACGAGTATGGTTCCAATACAAACACAAATTCCTGTTGATTCTGGTAAAAGAATATTTGCCATAACAACCTCCCAAATGTTCTTACCAGTAAGAAAGAAACCTTTTCTCCACTGTAATTATGCAGCAATATAACCAGGTGGTAACACACACATTTTGACTTAAGGGGTAACTGTTAAGCAGGACAATGAAATACCTTGGTGGTATTCCGTCTTTGCGTATTGCAGAGTTATCTTCTCTTGGGAGCAGGGATTGATTGTTACGTCATTTGTTTTTGTGAGAAAATTACGCCTTTTTTTCAAAAATTGATGACGTTACTATCACAAACAAGTGACGTTCCAATCAATACCTGCTCCCAAGAGAAGATAACTCTGCAATACACAAAATCGGAATAGCATCTTAGCAATTCTATTTAACTGTATATGATATTCAAAGTACTAGATTTACTATAATTATTATTATTGGTAGGCGTATTACTAAGACAAGCCTACTGCCTGATAAACACCGTAACTGTTCTGATCAAGTCTTCACACCTATGGATTTGGTCGGTTTACAACTGACCATGCCTAACCAATAACCAGTGCAAATTTATCTATGGAACTAATGTTATGATCATGACATACTGTTTATCAATTATTTGTCAAGGTTCAAAAAAAAAATTCTGTATTAAGATACCATATCTTCACATATTCATCATGAATCATGATATATGTGAAGAAATAAACAGTATCTTTTAAGCATCATTTTAAAAGCACTTGAGTGAAGGACATGCATTTCAAAAGTTCTGCTTATTAATTTGATCACAAATGACTTACCGCAATTTGCTGTCTAAAGGTAGGTTGTTTTTGTTGTTGTTTCACTCTGAAACATAAAACAGATTCAGTTAATTATAAAGACTGTATAATCCAACCAATGTGCCACACAAAACATCCTTGCACTGCTGTATAAACAAAGTGGTAGCAGTAAACCCTAGCAAGTTCAGTGGTAATATAAACAAAGTGGTAGCAGTAAACCCTAGCTAGTTCAGTGGTACAGTAGATTTCTCATAATATCACTTCCCATTTGTCAGAGAAAATCATGATATTAACAGAAACATGACATAAACAGAATACATAATCTATGTTTTTCAGCCCTCAAAGGGGGAAGTGAACTTATTCAAATGCCTAAGTGATGTGGCTCTACGAAGAAGATTGATATTTTGGAACTAACCTTGTTCTTTACCCTAGTTGAAATATAGATATAAGTAAATAAGTATAGAAATAAATATATTATTTGTATTTCATTTCAGTATGCAGTTACATTTCATATAGTTAGTAGCAAAATGACGATCAGTACGATTGTAATTATGATTGTTTACTGCAGTAATGATGTAGGCATACAAGTGTTTGGCTGGTATTCTGCATCAAATTCAATTGTAAACATGAGACTTGGTAAATATTTACCTATATCTTGATATATATACTGTTCTTTCGCTAGTAACATCTTTTTATAGGTTAATTTCCTTAGATATTTGCTGCAAGTGTGTAATCGAAGATAGTACACATGTTATAATTAGTTGAAAGAATACATCACACTTGGCATTAGAAAAGTTTACAGATGTTAGACTGTCCTAGCTCCCC